TACTCATTGTGACTGAGAGCTTTAGACAGCTCCACCCATGGACACCAGGCCTCACAGTGGGGGAGGAGCATGTGGTGAAGAAGCTCCTTTGCCTCATGGCAAGTAGGAACCAAGAGACAGACAGGAGGGGACGGGGAAAAGATGCTATCTGCTACCTGTGACCTGCTTCCCTCATCTCTTAAAGATTCCAGAATTCCAAATCAGCCATGAACTAGAGAGTTGATTCTTAAAACACCAGCCTTTTGATGGACATTTGATGGCCGAGTATCACTAAATGCTAGTCAGAAAGTCTCTATATTTTATCTTTACATGTCTTCCTTATGTTTATTGAGTCACTTCAAAGTTTTAAGTCTAATATCAAGGTCTTTGTTACACTCCAGGTCAATTTTTGTAAAGACTGAGAGGCAGGAATCAAGTCTTCTACATGTGTGTTTTCAGTGTTCTCAGCATCAGTTACTGAAGCCTTGGGCAAGGTGTTCTGTCACGGTGATAGAAAAGTAACCAAGATATCAGGCCTTCCTCACCATGATGGACTCTATCTCTCTCTGAAGCAATAGGACAAAATGAACCCTCTTCCTTCCTTACACTGTTTATTGTCATGACATCCTATCACAGCAACAGATAAGTCACTTATAGTGAAGTTGGTACCAGGATAGTGGAGCTATTGACATGAAGAACATGGTCATGTCATATTTCTGAAGAGTATGAGAGAATTTGGAACTTTAGACTAGAAAAGTCACTGAATTCTGTATCCTGAGTTAAATGAGCTGTTCTAGTGGAATCCTGGGGCAATTCAAAATTCTGAAATTCTGAAAGAAATTCAGACAGTGGAGGCCTTGGCTCATGAGTTTTCAGAGGGGAAAATGATTCAAACTGTACCTGAGCTAGAGGTCATTCATAAAATTTTGTCAAAGAATCTGGTTGCATTCTGTCCATGACCTGAGAATTTGTGTGAGGCTAAATTGAAAAGTGATGTATTCCCCATGGGAGGCCTTGCCTTGGAGGAGGTGGGAATGGGGGGTATGTTGAGGGGAGAAGCAGAGGGGGTGGGAAGAGGGAGGAGAAGGGGATCTGCAACTGGTATGTAAAATGAATAGAAAATTTCTTAAAAAGAAAAAAAGTGATTGATTGATTTGTTATTGTTGTTGTTAGGAAATTTTAACATAAGACAGGGTTGAGTCTGTGGCATGGTTATTAATTATGACAGTTATGCAGCTCTACAATCAACAGGGACAACACACATGGTAGGAAAAAATAAAAATGTGCAGTTTGGAAAGAAAAGGTCACCGGGAAATCTAAGACTTCCATCATGTACTAAAAAAGAGTTTGCATTGTTAAAGAAAAGCTGTGTGATCTGCACAAGAACAACAGGAAAGGTTCTCCAAGGGGCAAGTCCACACTCAGATGGGCGTCCATGTTATGAGAGAACTGTATTCAGAAGCTTCTACAACTGAAGTCCAAGTGGCTAGGGACCATCTCAAGCTGGAAGCAGACCTTGATAGTGTTGTCCATGTGGTACTTGTTTTGAAGACAAGAACTATGGAAGATGAAGGGGGTCATGGGTTTTTTCCTCTGCAGTTTTAGAGAACTGAAGAGACCAGGTAATGTGCACCAGGGTTAGATTTCCTTCAGGGAATCCCCAAGGGGCCATTGCATGAGGCTGTCATAGTGAAGCCTGGGTTGTGGCTGAGATCCCAAGATGTGTGAGATGCCAGAACCAGGAGGTATCTGCCAAGGAGAATTGCATACAGGAAATGGAATAAAAAAAAATCAGCCTAAGAGAAAAATGTAGATTGCAGGCAACAAAGCTGGAGGGTCAGTTCCATCTAACCTATTGAAGCTGAGGTTCTTAGATGCTGTACATGGGCCAACAGAATTTGATTTTACCATGATAGTTTTCAGTTTTGCTTTGGTCTAATCTTTCCTTGCCATGCCCATATTCCTACATTTTGGAATGGAAATATATATTCTGTTGAATGTTGAAAGTGTGTGATTTGTTTTGTAATTTTTACAGAGGTCACAGTTAAGAGATTGCCTTGGGTCTCAGAAGAGACTCTGGATATTGGAACAGTGTTGGGACTGTTAAAGACTATGAGGACTTTTGAAGTTGGATTAAACGCATTCTCATCATGAGATGGCCCTGAGGCTTAAGAGGCCATGGGGAGAATGTTGTGGTTTGAATAAGAAATGGGGGAAGGTATTATAAACTTTGTAGATGCAAATGAAGCTTAAACAACCAGTTATCGTAACCCATGAATATAGCAATGGACATTCTAAGGACATTTATAGCTATCAGTGCTTGCAATAAAAAAATAAGACCTCAAGTAAGGCTCATAAATCTGAATATAAGTAGATAGCACTCTTGGGGTTAGATTATGGAAGCTTCGGGAAGGGCAGCCCTGCTGGATGAAGAAGTCATGAGCTCCTGAGGGTTAATAGCCTCACTCCATTTCCTGTTCTGTCCCCCTGCTTCCTGTGTGATGAAATGTGATTAGTTGGTTCCCTGCTCCTGCTACCATGCTTTTCTTGACTGTAGCCAGGCCTTCCCCACTGTGATGGACTTTATCCCCAATCCCAGGACTATAAACCAAAATAAATCCCTTTCCACCCTAAGTTGCTTTTGGTCATGATATTTTATCACAGCAACAGAAAAGTAATTAGTAGAAGCAATATATTAAATAAGAATGATAGGAGTACATACAGTCATCTCCTTCCTGGTATTACAGGAAATGGTCTCAACTTTTCCCCATCCAGTATAATGTTGACTATGAGTTTGCCAAAACTCATAAACCTTGTTATGTGGAGGCATGATCCTTGTTTTCCTGGTTTCTTCGGGGTTTAAGCACAGTGATATTAAGTTTGCTCAAAGTCATTTTCTGCATCTGTTGTCAGGGTCATGAAAAAAAGCTTTTCCCTTCATTATATTTATGGGCTGCACTGTGCTTGTCTCACACATGCTGGACTACTCTTGCACACACAGAATGAAATAAACTTGATCATCATGTATTGACTTTTGAATGTGTTACTGAATTTAGTTTGCAAGGATTTTACTCAGAGTTTTTACTCTATGTTCATCAAGGAAATTGGTGTATAGTTTTCTTTTGTCATTGTGTGCCCTTATCTAATTTTGCATTGGTCTAATAACTACTTTGGATAATTAATTTGGAAATGTTCTTTTCCTTGTTTTATGGAATAGTGTGAGGTTCTGTAAATACCTGGTAGAATGCTATAGCAAATTTCACCAGTATTGAGCTTTTCTTTGTTGGGGGTAGAGTGACTACGCCTTGGGTCTCATTGCTCACTGTGAATCTATAGCATCTCAATTCAATGTTTATAGGTCAAATGTGTCTAAGAATCTATCCATTTCTTCTACATTATGTACTTCATGTCAGTATAATTCTCCAGGTATTCTGTAGTGGCCCTCTGGATATTAGAAGTATCTGATGTAATATTCCCTCATTCATTTCCAATATAATTGGCTTTAGTTTTCACTTTCTTTTGCTTCACTTTCTAGTTAATGTAGCTATAAATTCATCTATTTTGCTTATCCTTTCAAAGAAACAATTGTTTGTTTCACTGATACTTTGACTATTTCTTGGTTTAAAGTTCATTACTTTCAGCTCTGATTGACATTTATAATTTTATTTCCTTGTTATTAATTTAACTTTTGTGTTGATATTACTTTTTAATATCTCAAGGTTTGTCATTAGCTTAGTTGAGGTTTTATTTTTTATTGCAAGTACTGATAGCTATAAATGTCCTTAGAATTTCCATTGCTATATTCATGGGTTACAATAATTGGTTGTTTAAGTTACATTTGCCTCTATGAAGTTTATAATACCTTCCCCCATTTCTCCAATAACATACTGATTTTTCAAAAGCAAACGTCATATTTTTCAGTATATTCATGTGTTTATACCTTTCTCTTGTAGATAATTCCTAATTTTATTCTATTGTAATCTGATAAGATACAAACATATTTTAACACTTATTTGTTAAAACCTGTTTTGGGTATTTTAGAGCCTTGAAATGGAATAGTATATGACTGTCCTTACAATCACTGAATCTGTGTTACAATTACTCTGAAGTTTCTGTGTTCATTTTTGTCTGGGATATTTCTACTAACACTAAGGTACTGATATCATCCATTAGCACTGAATCTTGACATCTCTCTCTCTCTTTATGCCCAATAGTGTTTGCATTATGAAATTGGATCCACAAAAATGATGAATAAATATTTACAATCATTACATCTTTCTTTTACAATTTTTTGAGATTTTCATGAGTACTGTATTTATATCTTGTCTACCCCAATCTTTCTTCTTCCAATTCTTCCCACATTCCCACACTCCCTCTCAAATTTATCACTTCTTCTTTGAGGTGATAAGTTATTTGATTTTTATCACCCAACACAACCTGCTCAGTTGATTCAGTGTTGTTTATATGTATATATGCTTAGTGCTGGGTAACCTATCATGGGCTCATCCCTGGAAAAAGACTCACTCTGCCTCTCTCAGCAGCCATTAACTGTCTATAGCTCTTCATCTATGAGTGGGGCCTTATGAGATTTCCCCCATCCATGTTGTAATGGCAACTGATGTTGCTATCATATAGGTCTTGTTTAAGCAACTATAATGTTAAGATTTCACAATGCAGCTCACTGTTGCATATTGAATAATCAGGATATATATATATATATATATATATATATATATATATATATATATATATATATTTTACAAAACCTGAATCATCTTCCCCTAGAAGCTATCAACTGTCAATAGTTCCTTGGTTATGAGTGGGGGCTTGTGAGCCCCCTCTTCATACTGGAATATTGAAGTGTGGCTTTCTTAGGGGTCTCAAGATTAATTTCATAACAATTGCCTGTAAGAGAGAAATCTCTTATGTGCTACCAGCTTCTCTGCCTTACCTTTACCAAACGTTCTCAAATCTTTGGCGTTACAGCTAAAAGTCTAAACATGTCTGCTTTCCCCTTGTAGGTGCTGGTATTCTCACAAGTCTTGGCCGCAGAACAGACCAATACCGATGCCTCCAACATGGAGGATTCTGCCTCCGCTCCAGTTGCCCTTCTCATACCAGACTACAGGGAACCTGTAAACCAGATAAGCCCAACTGTTGCAGGAGTTGACAGTGATTTGAAGAATGAACATAAAAGACAAGTGAGGGATAAACCATTAGTATTTTAATAAAAGAAATGTTTTCAAAGCCTATTTATATCAGATCAAAATGAATTCCATGTCTCAGTTTAGAAGAGGTTTTTAAAAGTGTAAGGCTGAAGTACAGGGATTAGAACAAGAGGTTGGAAAATCCAGAGCACCTGCCTGGCCCTGAGTAATGATGGTCACAATTTGAGTGGTGTCACTTTTATTTGATTTTTTATCACCAAACTATAAGCATCCAGTGCAGGAAGGTCACACAGAATTTTATAGTGATCACAGCTATCAGATCTCCTGGGGCCAAACAGGATACTCTTCCATGTTCTCAGCAGTCAGTTAAGTGAGGTTCCATCTGCAGATCCAGGACCGAGGTCTCTTCTTACAGGGTTTAGGGCAGTAATAAGTTGACCTTAGTATCAGAGCCTCATTTAAACTGTAAATTGTCCCATCAAAGGTCCTCCTTCGTGGGTATTGGCTGGATTCCCAGATCAGCAATTTAAAAAATATTTATGCACAGCTTTCAAGCCTAGCTGTCTATCACACATCTGTGTTAGGTCTGGGCCTTCTGTGGTTCAAGTCATCTCACTGCTGTGTCTACAGATGCCCACAAGTGGACAAAAGCAGCCATACAGTCAGTTTTCCCCAAAAATTCGTTTCCATCTCCTGATGGCACACATAATGCTGTTGTTTTCTTAATCTGCCTCTGACACTTTATCATCTACTCTTGGCAGGTAGAAGATAAATAAAGGGCACTTGTGGCTCTATTCCTCAGGCCAAAATGAAAGTCCCATTGCAAAAAGAATTTATTTAGCAGTCCACAGTAATATTCATCGATGAGATGATCTTTTCTGTAGAGAAAAGCTGAATAAGAAAGATGCTAGCATTGGAGAGGACATTGACTGGACTCAAACATACTCAGTAATACAGACACAGTGGTTTAAATCCATGCCTTTAATCTCTTCCTTTATATATATATACAAATACACACACACACACACACACACACACACACACACACACATATACACACACTTTGATCTATTAACTAGCCAAAGTTTGCATATATATGAACACATACTTTTGTCTGTTAACTGATATAAACCATATGTTTCTGGTTTTTTGTCTGAGAAATTATCTTCTCATACAAATGTGAAATGAAATTAAAGAGCCAAAGAGCAAGTCTTTGAGACTACTTATATTGACGAGAAATAAACACCATAGCAGATCATTACAATGGAAATAGAAAGCATTGTAATGGGAACAGACAAGGTGTGGCAAACCTTGGGCATGTTGAAGAGGGTGAAGCCGAGGGAAGATTTCACAAATAAAAACAAGGAAAATTACATCAAACAGTTCTGGGAAAATAAATTTTGGTGGCAATGAGCAACAAGAGTGGTCAGAACCCAGCCTTGAACACAGGATTGCTGGCAGTTGTCCTTTCATAGAAGGCCCCTCTGAAGAGTGCTGTGATGGTTCAGATGGTCACTATGAGAGTCTATTACGGTGATTAAAAGCAGGTTTGTGACTGAGAACTTTCCCATGACCTTCTGATTTCACTTGTATTTTGGTACGGTTGACAGAAGTGACTTAGTGACTTTTTAACTCTGACAACTATCACATTCTTCATAAACAATTAAAGCAAGAATTGTGACATCTTCTTTTTTAATATCACTCCCAAGACTCCATACTACACAATTCCACAGATGGTCCCTGGGTGAGGCCATTCTGAATTTTACATGGATTCTCTTTTCCATTTCAGTAGCCACACCCAACTCCACTTTGGCAGTCGCGTGTCGCTACTTGGTTTCTCACACCCTAGAACCAGTCAGCCTTGTCACATATTGGTTTCCAAATTTAGTGGCCACAGTTCCCACCATGGGTTCTGATCTACAACAAAGGAAAATGTTTGGCTCACTAAGGATACTTTGGCAACCTTCACAACCTGTTTCTCATAGCCATGGTGAAGAGACTGTCCTCTGGATCCTTCTAGTGTGAGTGTGTAGAGTGAGTAGAGAAGTATGGGTCCATTAGAGTTGCAAATCCGTGTTCATATTCCAATAACTCTAAGCCTCTTAACTCCTACCCTCCCATTAAACCAGGAAAAAAAAAATCATGTTTCCAATTTGCTTGTATTTTATCCACTTGTTTCACACAGTTAAAGTCCTCTCAGCTTCCTAAGTTATGGTAAACAAAATCTCTGCTTCTTAGGCTAATGGAAATATATCTGGAGGGGTCTAACGTGTTTACTTCATGATCCTATTCCTCCAGCACCTCTTTGGACACATATTTCCCTCACATTTGTTTGTATGGAATAGAAAATTGAAGTGACTTATTTGAAGAATGGTATGTTCCTCATGGGTGATGTTCTCTGCCTGGCCTCTAGTGTTCTGTGGTAACTAGTCTCATGATACATCTAGAATGAAAGAGAGGGAGGAAATATGCCTAAGAAATGCAGCCAGATCTTACAAGCTATCTGACTTAGAAGGTGTAGTCACCATTTCCTCAAGAACATCATTGCTGACTTTTTCTCAGGTGAGTGGCAGCATTTGTTCCTGTCATATAGATGACCAGAATTAGTTCAGTGTCTCCGGCTTCATGGGGACGTTGGTACAAGCACGTACTGTACCTTTAGGAAGACTGTCCATTTCTATTCGTTCTCTAGTAGAAACAGTAAACACGCTGTGAGTCTGGAAATTCATCTTACATTGTCCTCTGGCTCCTCCTGGGATGAGGTTCTGCATCTGGTTTTCATAAATTACAAACTAAAAAGTATCAGATAAAACATCAATCTAAACTGGATTAAATACTTAAATATGAAATATCAAGCTCTAAATTTACTTTTAAATGCTCCATAAGTCTGAACAATGGTTTCTTATGCATGACCTTAAAATATAGATTGCAATTTTAAAAAAATAGTAAACGGTTATTTTGAACAATTGGAGTAGCAAAAGACAGAGAGACAGAGAACACAAAGAGTAACAGAAAGTGTTTCCAAATCATACATAAAGGTGGCATAACACCACATTATCAAAGTAGCTACAACAACTAGGTAGAGCAACAAAAGCTAATTGAAAATTGACTAATTAGGGCTTAAGAGAGGGGTCAGTAGTTTAGAACACTCCAAGAGGACCTGCATTCGCCTCCCAGCGCCTATGTGGCAGCTCACAACAGTTTGTAACTCTAGTTCCACAGACCCAGGGAGGGGAAAAAGTGTCCTCTTCTGACCTTCTGGAAGCACCAGGCACCACACATGGTACTCAGACATATATCCAGGCAAAACACTCATGGACTAACATAAAATAAATAAATAAATATTTAAAAAATCAGCACAGCAGGGCCGGAGTGATGGCTCAGTATGTAAGACTTTCCTATGCAAGAATGAAGGCTTGGGTCTGGATCATGAGTACCCCATGTGAAAAAAAGCCTTGAGCCTCCACATGTGCTTGTAACCACAGCTCTGTAGGGAAGAGACAGAAGGAGTTCTGGAGATTGCCACCTGTCTTGGTTACTTTTCTATCGATGTGGTAAGACATCATAACCAATGAAACTTATAAAAGAGTTTAATTTGGGACTTACAGTTTCACAAGGTTAGAGTTCATGGCCATCGTGGCTGGAGCATGGCATCAGGCAGGCATTTCACCAAGCATGGTGCTGAAACAGTAGCTGAGAGCTCACATCTTGACACTCAACCTCAAGGCAAAGAGAGAGACAGTGGGAATGGCGTGAGTCTTTTGAAACCTCAACTCCTGCCCCAGTGATGAAGCTCCTCCTGCAAGGCCACACTTTCTAATCCTTCCCAAAAAGTTTGACCAACTGGGGAACAAGTACTCAAACCTGGGAGCAATCCTCATTCAAACCACTACACTAGCCTAGCTCTAGGTAAGGGACAGACTCTGTTTTTGAGGAATAAGTCAGATAATTATAGAGTAGTACAACCTTATCCTCCTCTGACCTCTGCATTGGCACACACACACACACACACACACACACACACACACACACACATACACACACACATGCTCACATACACACATGCACACACACTCCCTCATGCACATTTCCCCAAACACCCACATGAAAGAAAATGGGCCAGAAGACTTGATCAGACATTCTAAAAATAACATGGACAAATGGACAAGTGTTTCAGGAAATATTCTTAAAATCACTAATCATTAGTAAAATGCAAATTAAAGTTACAAGATATAAACTCTGTCTCATTATTTAAAAATGATGCATACATTGGTGGGAAAGAGGGAACCTTGGTATGATGTTGAGAATGTGGTTAGTGTAATTCTTAAATTTTATTTTAATTGATTAATATTAGTAGTAGTATATGCATGTGGCTTTGGATGTGTCTGAGAGCGAGATGTGAGGGTCTATGCATGCCATGATGCACATGTGTAAGCCAAAGGACAACACTGTGGACCCTTTCCTTCTACCTCTACATGGGCTTTTGAGATTGGTCTCAGGTTGTCAATTTGTATGGCAACTGTTTTTACATTCTGAGCCATTTATTTCCCCTAGTGTAACTTTTATAACCAACTATATGGAAACTTCTCAATAAACTACTGGTAAATTCTACTACAATGGTACGCTCTCACTTTTGTGTATTTGTGCAAACAAATGAAATATAGAAATGAAAGATATGTCTGCACTTGAATATTCATCACAACATTCTTCACAGTAGCCAAAATACAGAACCAGCATAGGTATGCATCATGGAAGACTGGATTAAGAAAAAAAAAATTCAAGACCAAATGGATCAAAGACCTCAACATAAATCCAGATACACTAAACCTGATAGAAGAGAAAGTGGGAAATAATCTTGAATACATTCACATAGGAGACAACTTCCTGAACAGAACACCAATAGCAGAGGCACTAAGATCAACAATTAATAAATGTGACCTTATGAAACTGAAAATGTTCTGTAAGGCAAAGGACACCGTCAATAGGACAAAATGGCAACCTACAGAATGGGAAAAGATCTTCACTAACCCTACATCTGACAGAGAGCTGATTTCCAAAACATTATAAAGAACTCAGGAAATTAGATATTAACAAACCAAATAATCCAATTAAAAAAATGGACACCAGGAAATTTGAAGGCAAATGGATAGAACTAGAAAAAAAATCATCCTGAGTGAGGGAACCCAGACTGAGAAAGACAAACATGATATGTAATCACTCATAAGTGGATATTAATTGTAAAATAAAGTATAACTATGCTACAATTTATAGATCCAGAGATGTTAGATAACAAGAAGTGTTCTTGGGGAGAGATACCCAGATCTCTCTGGGAAGGGGAAATAGAAGAGATTTCATCAGTAGACTGAGGGTGGGTGGGGATTGAAATGTGAGCCATCAGGTCATGGGGGAGGATGAAGAGGGAGAGTACTAAAATAGACTACTGGAAAAGGGGGCATTTCAGGGTCAGGTAAAAACCTGGCACAAGGGAATCTCCCAGGAATCTACAAGGTTGACCGCAGCTAAGACTCTTAGCCATAGCAGATATGTAGTCTGAACTGGCCATCTTCTGTGGCCAGGCAAGACTTCAAGTGGAGGGAGTGGGAAAGCAACCCAGCTACATAACCTTTGACCTTCAGTCTGTCCTACCTATGGGATATGCTGGGTAAAGGTAACCTAGAGATTGAGGGAGTGGTCAAGCAATGACTCATGCCAGCAGGATAAGCCCACCCCTGACACTGCCTGGCACACTGGGATCCACAGGCTGGATGACTCAGAGACCTAGGATAGAACCAAACATGACTGGAGGGGGAAAATGTCATTGCAATGACACCTAACAATTTTCTGCTATACACATAGATTGGTGCCCAGCCCAACTGTCATCAGAGAAGATTCATCCAGCAACTGATGGTAACAGATGCAGACCCAGAGCCAAACATTAGGCAGAGCTTGGGGGATTCCTGCAGAAGAGAGAAAGAAAGGATTGTAGGAGCTATAGGGGTCAAGGACAAGAAAATTGACAGAATCAACTAATCTGAGTTCATAGGGGCTCACAGAGACTGATCAGAGAACCACAAAGTCTGGATGGGACTGACCTAGGCACTCTGCATATTTGTTACAGTTGTGTAGCTTTGTCCTCTTGTGGAACTCCTAACAGTGGGAGCAGGGACTGTTTATGACAGTTTTAGTGGCTTTTGGGACCCTACTCATCATACTGGGTCTCCTTGCCAAGCCTTAATACATGGGGAGATGCTTGTCTTACTGCAACTTGATATGCCATGTTTGTTGATACTCATAGGATACCCACCCTTCCTAAACACAAATAGAGGAGGAGTGGATTGGGAGGTGGGAACAGAAGGGGTGTGGGAGATGTACTGGGAGGAGAGGAAGGACGGTAACTGTGGCTGGGATGTAAAAATAAAAAAAAATACCAAAAAAGTAGAAAGAAAAAAAGAAAATTAAAGTGTATACATACATCAGCCAAGCCTGCCTCCACAGACTCCATATTCTCAGGTCCATCTCTGGCCCCACAGCCCCTGTACATGCTTTCCTTAGTGAGTCCTTCCAGAACCAAGGCTGTCCAAACCATTTTCACATCCAAGTCTAGCTCTGGACATGCAGTTTGTGCATCCATTTTGCCTGGAGAGTTCCCTTGGGAACAGGCCAAACCTCACCTTGTCCACTCTCAGAGGCCTAGCTCCAGTCATGCAGCTTGTGACTGGCTTTGGCTAGTGATATTCCCAGCACTTAACCACCAGCACCAATCCCTACACCATCAGGCCTAGCTCTAGAAGCCCTGCTCCTGTACTGGTCCAGTCTGAGTCAGGCTGGACTCTCACATCAGACACACAACCAAGAAAAGAAGTCCATATGCTCAGGTACATCATAAAAACACAAATAGTATGGCACCCCCAAGTACACTGGTCTAGAGGACCACAGGAAGGTCTCTAAAGAGAATTACCTAGACATTCCCAATGACACAGAATCTAAAAGAACAATAACAAACCTCATCAGAGAATTCAAGTTTAAAGAAGATGTGAATGAGCACCTCAATTAATTTAAAGAGGATAAAAATAAGTGCCTGAATAATGTCCAAGAAAATACAAACATGTGACTGAATGAAATGGTGAAGACAATCCAGGATTTGGACACTGAATTGAGCAAAGGTACAGGAATATTGAATGGGAATGAGGCTGCAATTGAGATGGAACTGAAAGGTCAATAACCCAATCACAAAGCTTGAGGGAAAGCTTTTCAATAGAATGGATCAAGTAAAAAATAGAATATCAGGACTTGATAAAGCAGAAAATAGGACTACTCAAACAAAGAATATGACATTTTTAAAATCATGAGTGAAACATACAAGAACTGTGGGGAACAATGAAAAAGCACCTCTTTGAATTATAGGCATGGACGGAGAAGAATCCCAGGTCAATAGCATCGGCCAGATGTCCAACAGAATTATAGAATAAAATTTCCCCAAATTCAGGAAATATACACTCATATAGAAGCAAACAGAACTACAAATAAACAAGATAAGAAACCCTCCATGACATATTATAAGTACATAAAATACCAAATATGCTAGCAAAGAGAGGATATTGGAGCTGTAGGGGGAAAAATTAAGGAATATCAGGTCACCTGTACAGGAAAAGCCATTAGAATGATGCCTTATTTCTTAATGGAAGCTTTAAATGTGAGAGGAGCACAATGTAATTCAATCTCTAAAAGACTATAGATGCCAACCCAGACCACTGTACCCATCAAAATTATCTGCCATAGTTGAAGGAAAAAAGTAAACTTTACATGATATAAACAATCAAAAAGAATTTTTGTGTCCACCAAACCATTCGTCCTGAGAATATGGAAAACAATACTGTGGAGTGAAGAGAGGAATAAGCATAGCAAATAGACTATGGAAAGAAAACAAATAATATGTAATTCCTGAAAAACAAAAGAGGACTAAGAACACGAACAGCAAAGAACAACAAAACCAAAATGACAGCAATCAACAAATAGCTTTCAATAATAACTTTAAATGTGAATGGCGCATAAGCCTCCAATCAAAAGGCACACGTTTGTTGAATAGAATAAACAAAATCCATTCTTTCTGTTGCCTAGGTAAGAAATATATCTTACCTTCAAAGGTAGATACCACTTTCAAGTGAATAAATGGGAAAATATATTCCGAGAAATTGGGACCAAGAAGCAAACAGATGTTACTGTTCTAATAATTGACAAAATAGTTATCAAGCTAAAATTAATCGGAAAAGATAAAGAGGGATACTTTATCCTCATCAAAGAAAGACTTACCCAAGCTGTCATTACAATTCTAAACATGTTCACTAAATCCTGGCATACTCAATTTTATAAAAAGCATATTACTGGACTTAAAGACAGAGATTACTTCCAACAATGTAATATTAGGTGAATTTAATTCCCCCTTTCTCCAATACACAGGTCATCTGAAACAAAATGAACAGAGAAACATCAGTATTAAATTACATCTTGCGCCGGGCGGTGGTGGCGCACGCCTTTAATCCCAGCACTCGGGAGGCAGAGGCAGGCGGATCTCTGTGAGTTCGAGGCCAGCCTGGTCTCCAAAGCGAGTTCCAGGAAAGGCGCAAAGCTACACAGAGAAAACCTGTCACGGGAAAAAAAAAAAAAAAAAAAGCTATACTCTGTTAAATTATAAAATCTAAAAAAATTAAAAAATTTTAAAACTTTTCCAACTAAAACTTCATAAACTATTTTAATAAATAGAAACAGAAGAACATTTCCAGACCCTTTCTACAAAGTCAGTATTACTATACTACTGAAACCAGGTAAAGACAGCAAAATGGAAAGCTATAGGGCAATAGTCATGATGAAGAAAACTTCTCAATAAGATACCTGAAAACTGATACAGGTATATGCTGTGGGATGTTCTGTATGGCAAATGT